TGGTTTGGTAAAAGTTTACTGCATTGCTAGTGCAGCTTATATAACCTATCTTGAAGGCTTGGAGTGGATTATTGCTTATGGTAAAATTTGCCTGATTTCTTACAGGCCGCGTTTGGAAACTTTTTATTATATAGTTGTTTACATGCTTATAACTATATCATTTAAGGACATGTACTGAAACAAATGTTGTATTTGTTTCATAAGCATCTTCCTGTAATCTATTATAAAAGTTGAAATTAAATATAGAGAATGTTTTAACAGTTTTTTAACTCAAAATTTGGCAATCATTTTTAATAGTTCTTTTTTTATAAAAAGAGGAATTTCGGGACAGGCAGTAGTCACTTTTAAAATTTATTCACAGAAACCATTAACTCCAGAGTTGCTATTAGCTGCCTGTTCTAAAACAATAGTCTTTTTATTGAAACACAAATAAACTTTTTCTGTAATATTTTATGGACTATACAGAGACTTTAATTGTTTGACTTGTTTAACTTGGCACTGTTAGTTTTTATTAATAAAACGCGCATGGGCATTTTAAACAAGCTCTGTGTTTTTCTAATTTAGGATTTTCCCTGGGAAATTATTTCATCCAGTTAGCAGGTTGTCAGGGTGACTTGTCTGCTGGTAGTTAATGCACTCTGCTGTACGATACCTTCCACTGCCCCAAGCCCTTTAGAGGCATGGTTTTTCCTGGCTAGTGGGTATCTGCTGGATTGTTCTGGAGTTCTCCTGGACATTGGTGGGGAGGTGGAAAACAGGGTACCCCCTCCTGCCCATGGAAGGCTGATGGAAGGAGATAGTTGTTTACATAGGGCAAAAGGATGCTTCCCTCCGCCTTTTCTGGAAGAAGTTCTTCCTTGGCATTATCCTGAACCCTCAAAAGTGAGATAGTTTATTTTGGTTTTCAGGGGGAAAGTAAGATTGTATAGTATAGGGGGGAATTCAGAATTTTATTTGAGGTGATGAAATAAGTCACTGCATATTTGAAGGAGGCTTCATAAAAGAGTCAGTTGTTTAGAAAAAGAAAGTGGAAGTCAGTCCTTTTTCCTTTTCTGATGCTGAGCTCTGGCGGTGTAGTACTAAGAAGCCGCACTGCAGTCCATGAGGTACACAGTTCAAGTCCACCAGCTGTTTCGCGGGAGAAAGATGAGCTGTGTTCTCCTGTGCAATTAATTGTCTCTGAAAACTTGCAGGAGGATTAGCTGTGAGTCACGTCTAACTCAACAGCACACAGCAATAGCAAAACAATTCTGAGTGATTTTAAATATATTGTGGTGTGGTTGGTGGTGGTGAGTACTATCAAGTCCATTCTGACTCAGCTACCCTATAAGATAATGGAGAGTTGCCCCATGGGGGGAAAATCCCGAAGGCTTGCTCCTGTAGACCTGTTGGTAGATTTGAACCACCAGTTGTTAGCAGCTAGGATCTTAATTGTTGTGCTTACTCAAGATTAGAGTTCTGGGTGACCTACTCATAAGAAACTGCACTGCATTTCCAGAGGCATGCAGTTTGATTCCACCAGGGGCTCTGCAAGAGAAGGATGAACGAGCTTTGAAAACCCGCTGGAGGGTCACCTGTGGGTTGGCTCCAGCCCAATGGTACACCACAACATTAGAACAGTAGTAGAACATTTTTTAAAAAATAACAGAGGAGCAGGACCAAAGCATTTCCTGTGAAAACAAATGTCCAATCAGTGGGTTTTTTTTTTTCTTCTCTGAGTATACACTTAGCACAGCTTCGTTTTCAGTGCTTTTATTCAGCAGGTTTATGACAGACTCTGTGTGTGTCTTACCATTTGCTAGGACACAGGTGACCACTGGGACATCGGACCCAAGCTGTTTGGTCTTGTTCTGATAGGCATGGGAGTAAAGCAACATCAGATTTTCATTAGCAGTGGTCCCTGGTGTCTGAAACTGGATCGGGGAGGGTTGAACTGATGGGATTCTAGTCTGTCTGAACTTGAGAAGCTGTAAGCCTGGGGAAAACACAAGACGTAGCCAGTCTTGGTTATGGCTTGTTGTTAGCAGCCATAGAGTCGGACCCTATATCATGGCAATGGTGTGCACAACATCATTGGATCTTTGTTAATTGATAAGGTTGTGTTGGCTGACTTTGGAGTTGGGGGACGGTTAGATTGCCAGGCTGTCCAGGTCAGTCTTACTCTGGCAGGACCATGGAACGCTGTCTATTAGCACTATGGAAACATGTCCAGACTAGATAGTGTTATTTTGGCTTTGGTGGAGCACTTTAGCAAGTGTGTTACAGTTTGGCTGTAAGGTGCTGAGTCTGAGACTCTGGTGAGGGGTCGTGATGGGGTCAGCCTGCACGGCTGGAACGCTCAAGGAGAGATCTGGCGGAGATACTGATGTGAGAATGTGACGTGGTTGGTTGGTAGGACCATGATGGGAGAGTGGTTGATGCTGGAAGAGAAGGATATGGTGCTGGTGGAGGCAGGAGCAGGTAGGTGGAAAACAAAGACGACCTGGGAGGCGGGAGCTGTGCTGAGAAGGACATAAGTGCCAGGCCCTCCACAGAGCTCAGAGAAGGCTGCCCATCTCTCCTGGGACTGTCAAGTTAGGACTTGACTGGATGCTGTGACAGTTTGGCTATTGGCCAAAATCTGTTTTAGTTGACTGGGAGAGTCAGTAGAAAGTGAAAAGTTGAAAGTGATGATGCATAAGCTAGCTTCACTTTGAAAATAATGAGGAAGTGGGGAGTCAAGTCTGGGGAGGCATTTCTCAGCCTTGGCTCCGGTGGCATGGTGTAATAGGGACTTGCATTGCTAACTAACCCAAAGGCCATTCAAATCTACCTGCTCCAAAGGAGAAAGATAAGAAGTCTCCTGTATGATTTATAACCTTGGAAACCCAACAGAAGATCAAATGAGTCTGTTCCAATTTGATAGCAATGAGGGTATTTTGCAACATTTTGTTTTTAATCAGTTTTGGTAGAGGAAACAGTGGAGAGCAGGGATTGGATATGGCAAAGGAAGATCCTAACAACAGGGATGGAACATTCACGGGTAGATACAAATGAGGTGGTGGTTGCTAGGCGCCCTTGACTCATGGTCACTCCTTGAACTTCACCTTGGAACCTTGCCCTATCCTGCATCCCCCTCACCATGTCCAGCGTCTCAAGCCTGTTGTTGGAGTTCCTGTCAGTCCATCTCATTGAGGGTGTCTTCACACTGACCTTTCCCAGCACAGTACCTTTTTCCAAGGACTGGCCTCTCCTGACAGCATGCTCAAAAGTATGTGAGAGAAAGTAGGAGAGCTTCCTGTGCGAATACAGCCACAGAAATCAGCTAGAGGGTGAGCTACAAGAGAAAAGGGGGAATTTTTATCCTCTCTGGAAAACAGGGAGAAGCAGACAGGAAAATTAGTTTCAGATTAATTACTCTTGCTTATGTTGTGAAGGGACCACCAACTTGGAACTGACTCATCACTGACCTAGCTGGTTTTCAGAAGCAGTGGGAGACTGCCCATCCTTAGGGATTGCAGTGCAACTTCTTGACCACTAGGCCACCAGAGCTCCAGTTATTATTAGTATCTGCTAAAAACTGGCAAAATACTTGAGAATTCTCCATATTATCCCACCTGGTTTTCAAAATTAATAACTGGGAATGCTTTGTTGGTGGTTGGCTTTCAATTTATATAATAGCTGTTGCCTTCTATTCATGAGGCTCTTTGCATCACAGATTTGGATTGTAGGACAGAACCAACGATCCGGAAATTTGTTTTCTGTGAAGGTACTATCAGAAGTAGTAACAGTTCAGTTTATTGACTTTCCACAAAATGTAACATATGCTTAGAGAAGATGAAAGCAAATGGAGGGGAAAAAAAGAAAATGGGATTTAATTTATTTGATTTTGAAGTGTTGGTGAAGATTCTGGGTACATCCTCCGAACCCTGACACCTTACAGGCACTTGCAGTTTAAGAGCCCTGTAAGTTCAGCAGGAGAGGCCTGGGCATCCCAGGGGACAACAACCTCAGAGTAAGACTGGCTTTCTGGGCCACCTCCACTCGAGGTCGTCAGTCACTGTCACGTGTGGTAGTGCTCATCGAATCCTACATTGTTCTGGTGAGCTTTTGAACATCTGGTCTAAGGATTCTGTAACTTAGGGTTGACATGCGTTTCAAAAGTCCGGCTTTATAAGGGTTCAAGGTAAGTGCTTTGACTTCTGAAACCGTGGAAACTTTTGGGTGTTTTTATCAGGGTGTTGATTTTGTGGTGTTAATCTGACAACCAGCTATAGTTGACATTTGTATGAGCACCTGGTTTATACTCAGCGTGTTGCATGTGTGTAAAAATTTTGCAGCACACCAAAAGTTGTACAAATGAGGAAGCAGAGGCTTAGCAACAAGTCACTTAGCTGATAAGGAGAAGAGTCAGGGCTTCAGCCCAGGTCTGTGACTTGGCGTGTGCTCTTGACTGCTATGCAACGCCACATCGTCTGCCAGTGATGTTTGGGTGATCCCTTTGTGAGGCACATTCTCAGGTTATCCTGTGTTTTCTAGAATAAGTAGTTGAATTTCTCTCCAGGGGCAGGTTTGGTGATACAGTGCTCCCGGGAATGTGAGGAGGAGGGGGATAAGCATATGTACAACCACTAGCATTACAAACATCTGAAATAGAGAGGTGTGTTTTTTAGAAGATCAACTCCACCCACCGTCACCATAATTCCATCTCACCTTTCCTTGCCAAGAAAGGACCGTTTGTTAATAAACTCAGGTTTAAACCTTTCAGTCTCAGTTTCCTTATCTGTGAGATGGGAATAATGGTGCCTACCGCCTGGGGTAATGAGGACAAGAAAGGACAAGCCATGTAAGATGTTAGCTACTATTCTTTTCTCCTCGCTCTTACACAACACCTGCCTCCGAGCTCTTCTGGAGTTCTCATTAACCCAGGATTTGACTCTCACTTCTGAGGTAGCATGTTCAGTCCTGCATTTCATCCTATTAGGGGATGTGCGTCATTTGAATATTCTGGAACCAGTAGAAAGGTAGGCATGGAAAGGGTCTAGGACATGGGATGGATCTTCTAAGAGATGTAGGATGCATCAAGAAAAGTTCCTTTTTATTCTCGCTGGTAAGTAGGAGAGGATAATCTGTTTACACCTTGTTCTTTTCTCATTTACCATTTAACTCATTTTCCCCTTCGTTGGGGTCAAAACTACCTCTCCCTGTTTCTCTCTTCCCTATTCCTCAGCTTCACTGAGCCAGCAAATTCAAGCAGTTACTCCCTACTTGTGGAGCTTAGCCCGGCCTTAATTGTACCATGGTTTCCAGGAACAATCGCCTTTCGATTCACCATGTTACCCCACTTTGAGATGGATGTGGAAACAACATTTGCCTTCCCTTTCTGGGTTTGGAGCATCCTTTAAAATTAGTTACCCAAAGTCGTAAGTTCACCAGGTTCAACTGGTTAGAAATGCGTGAACGTGGGCCTTCCTGAATTAGAAACTGCATTTATTACAGGGGAGATGCAGGGGCTTCGAGTGCACATTGAAGGCGGAGATGCCTGCCCTGAGTTAGCCGTGCCCACCTGCCATGCCTCCTCCATGAAGCCCACTCACCAGCAGAGTGAACATCCTGAAAGTGTTCATTCTCACCAGGGTCATTCCTGCTCATTGTGATGATTTGATGCTTGTCAGTTAATTAGCTGTTATTTCAAGACATGCTGTCATAGGCTTATCCTTTTCCCAACTTAATTCCAAATTCCTATGTGTGCAGGAAACTATTCTGTGTTTTGACCTTCACTGCAGAAAGGAGTGGTCTCAGATGGGGTGTAACACTGGGCTTTTGGGGTGGGGAATTGAGACTTTCAGTTTATATTGTTTCTCTTTCCTTAAAAAATGCTATTTGTGGGGTTATAAAGTATGAACTAGATTAGCATAAAAACACTACTGTCTAAATAAAGATACCCATTGATAATATTGCCTCAGAATTTTTATTTATTGATAGTAATTGCCAGTGTAAAATATTTGATACAGTGTTTCACAGTAAATTGTTGGCAGGTGCCTTGGGTCAGGAGTCCTCACAGTCTGTTAGGTTTGAGCGTACTGTTGCAGCTGTACAATAGTTGCCTAACAGATTAATTGAATTATCCTTACAAAATATTTACAAGAGTTATTTTTCCTTACCACTGGACCGATAGGCAACATTATGATAGATGGAGAGGAGACTGAAAGAGTCAACAGCTTTATCTGGCTTGGATCCACAATTAACCATCCTTGGGTACCAGCAGTCAGGAAATAAGGAGTCACATTGCACTGGGAAAATCTGCAGTTAGGGACCATTCCAAATTATTGAGGAGCAGTGATGTCAGTTTGAAGACTAAGGCACATCTGATTCAGGCCATAGTCTTTCCAGCTACTTACTGTGCATCTAAGAACTGGATAGTGAATAAGGATGACAGAAAAAGAATTAACGCCTTTGAGCTGTGGTTTTCGAGAAGCGCACTGAACATCCCATGGACAGCCAAGAGAACAAATAGGTATGTCTTGGGACAGGGTGCAGCCGGAGTGCTCTTTGGAGGCAAGAAAGATGAAGTTTCATCTCATACTTTGGACGTGTGGGTAGGACGTGCTGTTCCTTAGAGAAAGAGACGATGCTGGGAAGAGTGGAGGGTCAGTGAAGGAAGGGAACACACTCGACCAGGTGGACTGACACAGTGTCTGTTGCAATGGGCTCTGTGTGTCAGGAGGTGTGCAGATGGCGCAGGATAGAACAGGGTTCAGATTTTCTGTTCATAGAGTCGCTATGAGTGCTCAACTCGATAGTACCTAACAACACCACTTCTGAATGTTGGATGGAGAAAGGAATGTGCTTTGTGGAAGGAAAAAACCCCCTTAATATTGTTGTGTTAACTTTTTTAAAAGTTCCCTCTAACCAGTAGTACTCTTCATGTCCTACTTGAGTCATGAAATTACTCTTTGCTGACTGCCAGTATGAATCCCTTGTTTACAGCTCTCATGCCAACATCATTGTAGTAATTTTCCTGACTTCATGGTAAATTTTCAAAGGAAATGTTTAATTTTTAGTTTTGTCTCCATATCAAAAGACTTACCTGTCCCCTGACCCCTGTCTTTTTTTGCCTATAATAAGAGTAACTTAGTTTTGTCTCAGTACCAGCAGTTAGTTTTGTCTCTTTGTACCAGAACTCTTTAACTATTGCCCCCCCCCCTTTTTTTTGCATAGAATAAGATTAACTTCTGTTTTACAGTTTGGGATTTACCATTCTTCAGGGATTCAGGATATATGTTATATATTATGTTTAATATCAGTTCATTAAGGGTTTTCAAATTATATGAATAATGGTTCCTATTGAACTATAGAAAAAGAAATTATAACAAGAAAGATGACTTCTACACAGAAATGAATCAACTTAGTATCCTGTTAGTTGGATGATAGTTGCTATCTTTGCAGCTACCATGTTAGCCCAACATTTTTATTGGAGGTACGTATTTCAACTAAAGAAATAAAGAGTAAAGATTTCATAAAAACAGCCAGTACTAACCATGAGTACTTCATGTCTCAAGCTTATAGGTAAGCACTACGCTGACGTTGGGATCGCCCTTCTAAAAGCTCTTGAGTGGTTTGCTGGTACATTAAGACCAACCAAGAAGTTGATGGTTTTGAAGTTTGCGGGTTTTGATTCATCTTCTATACTACTCGTGGTTGGTTTACTTGTCAATTTTAAGTTTGAACTCCACTTTTCCTTCATAAGGGTCATGAGGATTGTCGAAGGTGACATGTTCTGCAAGAACTTTGCACACGATGATAACTTCTTTATTCTTAGGAATATTGAGGAATTTTGCTGCCACCAGAGGGTTTCTATATTCAGGCTGAAATAAAGGTACAAAAAGCTTAGATGTTGAAGAAACTCTCTTGACATAAAAAGCACCCAGTCATTGAAGTAAAGATCTGTGCTCTTGAACCAATCTGTCTAATAAATGCCCCTGTGTGACAGAGTAGAGCTGCCCCAGGAGTTTTCAAGCCAATCAGCTTTACGGATAAAGAACTCTGGTGGTGTCCATCGGCACTTAGGCACTTGCATTGCAAACCAAAGACTTCATCTTTCTGGAGGTTCAAATCCACTAACAGCTCCACAGGACAAAGATGGACTATTTCGCCAGCAATTTATAGCCTTGGAAACCCACAAGAAGGTCAACTAGGTCAGTCCTAATTTGAAGGCAATGAGAGAGAATCTTAATGGAAACTGATTGCCAAGTCTTTTTTTATTTTCTTCCATTTTTAAATTCTTACACTAGTTTATTTACAAAATTGGAATTCATTGTTTTCCATGCCTTTTCTCTTGAGTGGCTGGTGAGTTTGAACCAGAGACCTTTGAGCTAGCAGTCCAGTGCTTGACCATTGTGCCACCAGAGTTCCTTTAGGAATAAAGGGAGCATCATTGTTTAGTTAATTGACAGCAGGAGCAGACAATATGACAGGTGTTTGTTAATATACATCTCTGAAGTAAGATGCTTTGGAGGAGTAGTAACTAGTGTCCAGCTGCTCCACATTTGCTTGGCGCTTGGAGTCCACCAGCTGCTCCGTGGGAGAATGATAGACACTCGTCTCCCATAACAATTTACAGCCTTGGAAACTCGCTGGAAGGTTTATAAATTAGAACCGAGTTCATGCCAGTGGGTTGCTTTTGGTTTGTCTCTGAGTAGAGCCTAGGATGATTATTAAACTTCTAGTTCCCCTTCCTTTTTTATATAGATTGATAGCAGCTTTAATGACATACTCCAGAATGTACTAGGATAAAAATGTTTCCCCATTTAAAATTTGTTTGGAGGGGATAGACGATAAATATATCCAAGTATATATCATAATGTATTTGATAAGAATTAATGAAAAATAAAATTAAGAAGCATGAGTTAATGCTAGAAATGCTTTGAGCTGGGTAAGTGGTTGTCTCCAAGGATTTGGGAGGTGCTCAGTAAAAGAATTTTTATGGTAGTTTTAGAGGAAGGTGGCTTCAGATAAATAGAACATAGGTTTGGGGAACATTGGAGCATTCATTAAGATATGAGGACTGGCACTAAGAAAGCCTCTCCTTTTTTAGAAATAAAACCACATACACTGCTTTCTTATTTTGTTCTATGCTGCTGACACAGACGTGACCCATAGCTGACCCTCCAGCAGGTTACCGCAGGGGAGGAGATTGTCCATCTTTCTCAGGGCAACTGGTGAATTCAAACCACCTGCCTCTGGGTTGGCAGTGGAACTCCTTACCCACTGGGCCACCAGAGCACCCTTTTTGTTACTGTTGTTGTGCACCGTTGAGTCAGAACTGACCCACCGCCCACCCTCCGGTGGGCTTTCAGAAGCAGTTAATTGTACAGGAGGAGATGCCCATCCTCCTGCGGAGCAGCTAGTGGATTTCAATAAACTG